TTTACATAGATGATGAAGTCAGCAGAATTTGCAGCTGAATTGAATCTAAGTTTAATTTATTTCCTGTTTCCCTTTGAGGATAACTGACCTGAACTATCCAAGCGAAGTCTCTGGACATGTGCTGGTTTCATGCGCTAAACACAGTAAATGGAAAACAGAAATCATGCACTTACTTCTCATGTATCAGCTATCCAAAATTTCAAATTTATGACAATAGTACAGAATCAACTATCCATTTTTTTTTCACATTAACAATGAATATCTGGTACTAACAAACAAGTGTGAGGTGTTTGGCACTAACAAACAAGTGTGAGGTGTTTGGCACTAACAAACAAGCATGAGGTGAAAGCAGTGCTGGCTGCGATGCTTATGTGTCACTTGTCTGAGACACCGATGCTCAGTGGGATGGCCATTATGGAACGATTTGATTTAGCAGTTATTTAATGATGTTGTCATCCTCCATGTTCGCATATTGTTAGCTTTCACAAGACAGCTTGATTTTTGGAATCTAGCCATAGCAATAAGTAAAGGGGAGGTATAATATCTCCTACCACACATGAGCTGTCCCCTTCTCTTGAACTGGGCAAGCTTTTGCCTTGAGCAATCCAGTACTCTGGGCATTGAAGGTGGATTACAAAATGTGAAACAGCTACTATCTGTTGCTCTCTTGGACCTTGTTGGAAAGCCAAAACATTATTCTAGAGGAACCCAGGCCACTGAGAGAAGGTAGGCATAGATATTTCAGCCAACAGTCAATATAAACCAGCATATAACTACATGATAAATCCTATGTGAGACCTGCCTCGCTAAGAACAATCACCCCTAGAACCATGGGAAACAGTAACATTGTTTTTATTGCACTTTGTCTGTCAGAGGAGGAGCTTGGTGTTGTCGTGGTTATGTGTTGGGTTGCTAACCAAAAGGTCCGTAGTTGAAAACCACCTGCCATTCTGAAGGAGAAATATGAGATTTTCTACTCCCGTAAAGAGCTACAGTCTCTTTACAGCAGCAGTTCTACCCTATTGCTGGGGTAGATACGAATCGGGGTAGATATGGGGTCGATATGAATTGAATCAGTTCAATAGCAGAGCGCTTGGCTGTTTGGTGTTATAAGGGCAGGGTGGCTTGTTAAGCAGCATTTGATGATTAGAGCGCCTAGTTTTCAGTATAAGCAGCTATGGAAGCAGACAGCTATGGATGCAGCCACTTTGTTTTTTGAGAGGTTTGGAAAAGTTCACTTGGTAAACGTGCAGGATCAGTTGAATAATGCTGGAATAAAAGAATAAGCTGAAACACAGTTTCCAAAATTACCTGCCTTATCTTCTCCCCGCCCCCCTCCCCCCAAGCCCAGGTGACACAATAGTTAAGGGCTCTGCTTCTAACCAGGAGGTTGATGGTTTGAACCCACACAGTGACCCTGTGGGAATAAGACCTAGCTCTCCGCTCCTGTAAAGATGGCAGCCTAGGAAACCCTATAGGCTGTTACACTTAGTCACATGGGTTCATTATTAATAAAAATTTACTCAAAGATACCTAATGGCAACATTAATCTTTCTACACTGACTGAAAGAAGTGAATCATAAATGGACTGATCCTGTATGGAACCATTATTGTAAAAGGTCAAGAAAAGGTTTTCACACACACCCAAACTTTCTTTGGTTACCAGAAGTGGGAAGGGGAGGGAAGGGAATTTATTAACTAGAGCATAAAACAAAACAAAACTCACTGGCGTCAAGTCGATGCTGACTCCTAGTGACCCCATATAGACACATATTCACTTGAGTGAAGGGGAAGGCAATATGCAAGCAGAGCAAGGTCAACCAGAAAGAGAAAAGATAAAGGAGCTTGGAATTGGGGCCAGGGAATCAGTGTTGAGATGACCCTAGACGGGGCTCCTGCAACCCCACGTATTTTTGCCTGAGGATGAAATCTTGATTCAGGTTTGCTGAATGCTATTAGTGGTTTCCTGATTTCCCAGAGACAACTCCATTATCTCTTAAACTAGGTGACCTTCCATTTCTGAACCCCACAGGTTAGAATCTATCCCAAGATTTGACTGTCTCTGTTGCAGGCATGAAATAAAAACAGCTCTCACAGTGAACAGGATTCCTAAATACGGGAGCGCTTTGCAAATTTTCTGGAATCCAAGACTGTGGCTCTCAGCTAAAGCTCACCCGGGCTTTGTAACCATGGTTTTCCACAGTGCAACTATATAAAAATAGAACATTTATTTAAAAAATAAAACATGACAAATAAGCTACTGCTGTTTCTATTTGCAGTGAAACTTCCCCAAGACTCCCTAAACGCAAGTCATCTGGTAAATGAGCTCTACATATAATGAAGTCTCTTGGCCTGGCTGTCTGCTTCCCTATAGCCCCCAAATGACTCCCCACAGTGACTCCTCAGGATGACTCCCCAGGGTGCTCAGGGCATGGTACCTAGGAGCCGTGAGAGCTGGTCCTTGGAGAATCTCAAGTATCAAAATCTCCTCCCCTGGAAAGAATATCTAAGTGTCTCAACAGCCCTCTCTACAGCCAATCCCCAACTAGACAAATGCTTGTTTCTTTTTTTCTGAACGTGACTTGCAAATACTCAGACTTGTGACTCAGGGGCCACATTTTCGACGTCTCTCTCCATTTCCCACCTAAGCCACAGATTGGCAAAGGTAGAAGTAAGTGAGATTTGGATACAGTTTTCAGTGGTTATGGGAGGGAGCATGAAGAGGAATCAAACACAGTGCCTAGGTAGTGCAAATGGTTAGCCCTAGGTCTAAGAGCTTTGGGTTGGAACCAAGCCAGCAATGCCATGAAAGATTACAACCAAGACCCTCCATGGAGCAGGTTTGATCTGTAACACACGAGGTGACCATGAGTCAGAATCAACTCAACAGCAACAGGTTTGCTTTGACTTTTGTGGGTTTTCTTGTAGTCAGAGGGTCAAATAATATGAAGCTGGAGAGGGTCCTGGTGTTTAAGTATATCTTATTTGTTCTCCTTCATTTTCTTCTTTCAAAGCTCTCCTGCACATACAAAAGAAGCAGGACCTTCCAGGAATAAAGAGCATCTTGTTTAAATAAAGGATGTGTCTCTACCAATTATCAGTTATACACCCTTGTCAGTGCTCGCATCTTCAGACAAATCATGGTCCACACAGACATTGTATATAAACCTTCCTAGAGCATATGAATAGTTACTTTACTGACTGCCCACATTAAGGTCAAATAGCTGCCCCTGTCAAGAAATAGTCCCTGACATCTAACCTAAAATTTATTTTTGATAACTACATTCCATTTCCTTTCATGACACGCTCTGGGGAGTCATAGCCCAACTGTGCACCAACTCCTCGTAAATATCTTTCTGTAGATTTCCTTTAAGAAAACTAGTGTGTTTCTGGAAATTAGACGAATTACATTTTTTAAAGCACTAGAAGAACTTACCTTTGAAATGTAGCTAATAACAAGTCATCGTGTAATGTGACTAATTTGCTTTACTCCCAGCAAAATTCACTGTTTAGGTCACTCCATCTATTCTATTACAGAATTTCTTTTTTTATCGCTGACCTGTTACAAATGATTATATGTTGCCTAGTAATTGGGTAAAGTATACTAGCAAAGTTGCATTACCCATATATTTTCCAATTAGACACTGTGGTTTCTTTTAGTGTTATAATTTCAATGTTAGAGTTTGGCTCAATTCTTTAGGTGTTTGAAGCAGAGAAATATGAAAGCATTCTCTCTCTCTCTCTCTCTCTGTGGTGCTTCATCATTCTGCATCCTGATGGGTAATTTAAGATAAATATCAACGATTCAATGAGTAGAGATTTGAGATTTGAATCTGTGATTGTAGCAGTCACTCATAAAGAGTGGAAACACATTATGAACTTAAAGAGTTTGTAATCTGGTAATTCCCAAATACAGTTTTGTGTGGTGGTAGAAACAATAAACACAAGATTAGAAGGTTTGGGTTCAAGCCTGGTTTTTCCCCTTTAGTTCCTGTGGGTTATGGGCAATTCCCTGCATCTGAATAGAAACAGTAACCCTTGTCCATTGGATGATAATGAAGTGAGCTAATGTGTGTAAGGGTGCTTTGTAGTCACTGCTAAGGCACGATTAGATCTTTCAATACAAAACAATTAGTGCGGTAGGCATAAGCTGCTTATATGTACAAGAAGATGAGGGTCAAAGACAGAGAGAGGAGAAAAATATTTTACAAGGGACATGAGCTTTGGTGGTTTGGAAAAGTGTGTAGTATCTAGGTAGGAGGAGTACAGAACAGAAGTTGGCAGGACCAACGTTCTTACAGAGGACTGGAAAGAGAATGCAGTGAAAGGGACAAGGAGAAAATGTCTGTTCACACCCTAGATGCTCTGAAAATGGTAGACGGCTACAGAACCTGGAATTCTGTAAGACATCAAGGAAAGGGAGTGCACTAAGTAATTTAAAATCTAATACAATACTTAGCATTACATTTTTTCTACTTTCAGTTTTCTGGTTTTGTTCATGACAGTGTATATTTAAAGTTGAGGATGCTAGCGTTTGATGTATTAATTCCTTGCCAAGGTAAGTTTAGTGTTTGATAGAATACAGCTAGGCATTCACAATTTTTGATTGTAAAAGTCGTAAGTTTTCTTTTTGGAGAGAAAAGGCAGTTTCTCCACTCTCCTCTCTTACAGGAGACACACATGAACATGAAAATAAATGAGCAAAAGCTTGAGGCGAACAAACAAGGACGTCCCCACTCTTTTCTGGACACAGGAGTCCCTGTGTGGTGAAACAGGATGGAGGTTAAAGGTGACATGGAAGAAAATTTTGGTGATCAACTTTTAAAAATTCAGTCATTAAAAACTAGGAGCACAGTTCTACTCTGATACTCACAGGGTCTCCATGAGTCAAAATTGCCTTAACAGTGACTGGTTTTGTTTTACTGCTTGACAGATATTATCTATCTAAATATAAAAGGCCCTTACGTGTCTGTCCCTTCTTAGATGTCATATATAACTTAATGAAGACAGAGAATCATACGGCGGTGAGTGAGTTTGTGTTTGAAGGTTTCTCCAGCTTCCATGAGCACCAGCTTACCCTCTTCGTTGTATTCCTCTCACTCTATGTACTAACCCTGGCAGGCAATATCATCATCGTGATCATCATCAGCCTTGATCGGCACCTCCACACGCCCATGTACTTCTTCCTCAGCATGCTATCAGCTTCCGAGACTATGTACACACTGGTCATTATACCAAAGATGCTCTTTGACCTCATGGGCCCCAATAAACCCATTTCCTTGGCAGGTTGTGCCACCCAGATGTTCTTCTTCATCACTTTGGCCATCAACAACTGCTTCTTGCTCACAGCAATGGGGTATGATCGCTATGTGGCTATTTGCAACCCATTGAGGTACACCATCATCATGAACAAGAAGGTGTGCATCCAATTAGTGTGGGGGGCCTGCATCATTGGTTTAATTGTAGCCATGATACAGGTGTTGTCTGTGTTCAGGATGCCTTTCTGTACTACCAAGGTGGCCCACTTCTTCTGTGACATCAGACCTGTGATGAAGCTCTCCTGCATTGACACCACCATCAATGAGATCCTGACTTTAATCATCAGTGTCCTGGTGATCCTAGTTCCCATGGGCTTGGTTTTCATTTCCTACATCCTCATCATCTTCACTATCCTCAAGATTGCCTCTGCTGAGGGAAGGAAGAAGGCCTTTGCCACCTGTGCATCTCATATCACTGTGGTCATTGTTCACTATGGCTGTGCCTCCATTGCCTACCTCAAGCCCAAATCAGAGAACACCAGAGATCAGGATCAACTGATCTCAGTGACCTACACTGTCATCACTCCTCTGCTGAACCCTGTGGTGTACACCCTGAGGAACAAAGAAGTCAAAGAAGCACTGTGCAGAGCTATTGGCAGAAAACACTCTTGACAACAAAGATCTATCATCATGAGGGTCCTTTAGGCAGAAAAATATGAAGCAGGGTCCACAGTTACAGTAAGTAAACATTCTAGACTCCATTAATCAGTGATTGAGAAAAGGAGACATCCAAGGAATCCAAAATTCAGCTACTTGAGAAATGCAGATGGTACTTCAGAGTATAAGCTTGACCCTTGCTAGAGAACAAGGCTGACACAGGTCAAATATAGGAAAAATAGCTTAACGGTGTTGGAAAATTGATTGACTGTCTGGGACAGAATGAAATCAAAAGAGCAGACTGAATTAATGAAAGATGATTGCTCCAGGCAGACTAAAGCCTTAAATACATTCCATGACATTCTCATTTGTACTTACCCACTTAGTGCTATACAGGTTTAACACCTAACTGAAATTATTCCTTTGAGAATGATTCGATTTTCTTTACATCGTAGATGCTACAACTAAAATAAATATCCAAGGCATTAAACTCATTGCTGCCAAGTCAATTCTGCCTCACAGCTCCCTATAGGACAGCGTAGAAGTGTCCCATAGGGCAGTTCCTTAGAGAAGCAAACTGCCACCCACATCTTTCTCCCGCGGAGCTGCATCACTGCACTATCAGGACTCTGTTATGTACCTCAAAATTCAGCAATCTTTGGAATCTGGGTATTTTTCAAGTATGGAAACCTAAGGGAAATGAAGACCTAAGTTTTCAAGATTATGTAAAATAAATATTTTTGTAAAGCGATTTAAGTTCCTTGGGAATTTAGTTAAAAGCAAATTGCAACAAATAATCACACTGGCATTTTATAATGAGAATATTCAAAGATTGTTGTTCATCTTCTCTGTGAAGGTTTTGAACCCAGAAAAAAAGACTTGGGATCATCGCGGTGATTCCCGCAAAATTAATAGAAACATCTAGTGGCTGAAAACACAAGAGGTGAAACAAAAGGATTTAGATGAGTAAGGACATTTTCATCTTCCCCCCAACCCTCCTATTTCCCACAGTATGTCCTCCAGCTCCACACAGCCTAAAATCCAACAAGTGAGTTGGATTTTCCCATTTTACATTTGGCCCTCATGCATTCCTACAGCCTTTCCCACTTACTGAAAACCCTGTACTGCCATCCTCATTGGTCACTCAGCCTGGACAGGCGCCTATTCAGTTAGAAACAACCAACAGAAGCACCTCTTTGCAAACCCTCTATTGAAATCGTCATTGAAAGGAAATTACTATCCCCTTTCTCACTGCCCATCTTCAAACCTCCGAGGATCCTCTATTTCTATGGTGAACTTTCCCATGATGGTTGTGTAGGTGAAAGCACAAAATTGATGAGTGTTGTTATAACTAGGTGACAGCTGTTTGCACAGTTACATCCAAAACCGAACACTTCACATGTACCAAGTAATGTGTCTTCAGATCACATTCCCCTCTATGTTAATTTCAAAATCAAAAACAGTGTCCAAATACCTTAATTTCTTAAATAGTCCATTAGGGTTTAATCATATTTAAATGCAACCACATTTTTTTTTCTTTTGGGAAATTTATGGTGGAACTCACAATGAAATCACCCTGTGTTTGTCAATAGTCATTCTCGCGTCTACTCAGTAGATAAAAGTTTATTTTTATTTTATCATGTGAATTTGAAAATACTGCACTGTCCCATCAACTTTCTTCATAATAGATAGTCCATACCTAGGACCTCAGGCAACTACTGAAAATGTCCAGTGGCAGTTCTTGGCGCTCCATAGAGGGAAGTGGAAAGAACATAAGCACCGGAAGACCAAAGCTCTGGTCTGTGTCCTAGCTCTACTTCCTTATTCATCATGAATACGCTTGAACGAGTTACTTAATCTCTCTGAATCTTGATTTCCTGATTTCTAAAATTTGTACCAAGGGGTTCTTGTGACACACACATAAGAAGATGAATGTGAAAGTTCTTTGCAAATAACAAAAGAAAGACAAATATTTCTTATTTTTATTATAGTAAGAAAATAGCTACCCCCCCCCATAAAATCCTACTAATTACACATGATAAACAAAGGGTGTTCAATCTCACCCATTTTAGGAGGCAACTCTGTGTGTGTGTGTTTTCTGTCTGTAATCACCATTATTTATGCTTCTAATTCAAGGTAGAGTCTCTCCTAAAATGCCCTTGAGAATGAGGAAAGGAAGCTAACTTTTGGATGATTCTCCAGACACAGCCCAGTCATTAGCTTGAAACAGTGAGCTCACCAGTAACAGAAATTGATTGCTTCTCTTAGTTTCTCAGACATATGGGCTCCACCCTTCCCTTACCAACTGGTATATTTTGTTGGGAAGAGCATAAAAGGTTAAAAACACTGGAATATAGCCCTCTTTTGTCCCTTACCATCATTCCTAAACAAATAACTAAATCCTTTCTCATCTGTAAACCAAGGTTACCAATTCTTGTTCATCTTACCTGCTCTGATATAAGACTCAATTACATTACAATCAACATAGCAGATATTTCTATGATAACTGCAGAAAGTGTTAAGGAATGAACTGTGTTATCATTATTATTAGCTAATGTAATCCCTGTGTTCTTAACTCTATCATTTATCCTGGTCATTTTATATTACTTTATTAATTAATATTTGATTCTTATTTTCTTCCCCCAAACACTTAAATTCTAAATGCTACTACATATTTCATTAATCTTGAGGTAATTTATTCACAGTTCCTTACAAAAGAATATTCTCCAAACTTTGATCTTAACCTTATAATAATACCAGCAGTTTATGCTTATTTGCCCGCTCCACATTATGCACCTTCATTTCCTAGATCAGTGGACTTCAAACTCTTTTTACTGTGGCCCTCAGTCCCCAATTAGAAATGTGTATTACAAGGGAGTACTCAAGAAAACCCAAAATTTTTTTCAAAGCTAAAACTTATTACCTTCAAAGTACACTCCATGACATTATATTTATCAACTCTTATTCCATTCTTGAAAATATTTTTCAAACTCATCTGTTTGGATGGCTGACAGCACCTCCCTTGTTCTTTTCTTCACCTCCTCTACATCATCAAATTGCTGTCCAATTTCATGTTCCTCTTTTGGGAAACAACAAGAAATCACAAGGTGTGAGGTCAGGTGAGTAAGGTACATGGGATAAGAGAGGCATGCTCTTTTTGACAAAAACTGGCGCCATGAGATAGATGGCTGCATGAGCATGTGTATTGTTGTGGTGGCAAAACCATTCCCTGGTCTGCCACAAATCAGGCAGATTTTGTGGCACACTGTTACACAATCTTTTCTGAACCTCAAAATGGAGATCTTGATTAACAGTCTGACCTGGTGGAATGAAATCCAAATGTACTACGAGTTGACATTTTTGTCCATTTGGGAAGTTGATGGACATCCAGAAAGAGGTTTATCATAAATAGGTATTTATCTTGTTTTGAAACAAGAAAACCACTGTACACTTGAGTTTTTCCATAGTTCTGTCCGTGTAAGTTGTGTTCATTATCACAATAATTTTTGTGGCATTTTTACTGAGCAGGAAAATTTCACAGCTGCATGCTGTTCTCTTAAATTGGCCATCACAAAAAATAAGGTTCAAGTGAAACTGCTTTTATGAAAAAATTCACTGTGACCAAAGAAAACCTTCCCAGTTGACACCACTGGGTGCACTTACTCAGAGCGAATTGCTCCGCTATTGGGAAAAATACAAACTACGAAAGTTCTGCTCTGCTTAGTGTAATTCCAGTTTTTTGGGGGGGACCTCCTCATATAACAATACTGAGTAGTATACACACACACACACACACAAAGTGAAACAAAACATTCACAAAACAATACTTTGCCTGCATGCAATACTCTCCGATGTTTTTCATTTATTATATTCTGTTCTTTTTCTATTTCATGATTAGCAGTGCATTGAAAATATCTTTTAATTCAATGGTTGAGTAAAATCTATATTCAGCTAACGACGATGATAAAGCTCATTAACTTAAATTATATTTTAGGAATATTGAAGTAAAATGAAATCTTTTCAAAACTTAATAACATTAAAGCTTAATTATTAAACAATGATCACATAGAAGCAATTGGCATTTCATAAGAAGAGTTTTTAATAAAATAATTGGGACCCTAAGTAAATGCTCATATTTCAACTGAGAAACTGAGATTAGTGGAGAAGCAAAATATCTTTCAGGAAATACCTCTTATTTCCTCTTATTTTATCTAATATTTCGCTCTCTTTATATTCTTTATTAGATCTAGATTAAAATAATTTGTCCTAGGCATTGTCATTTATAATTTTGATGGCAAAACTGACATTCTGCTAAAAATCCATTATGTTATGAAGTTTCGTGGTTAATAAAAAATTAACATGATGCTTAAAATTTGTTTCAATGTTATAAACACAGAACAGCACATAATCAAGAGATAGAATTCTGATATCTAATTTCATTATTCTACTTTTATACTTTATTACATGGAAATATTTACTAGCTTAGCAATTATACAATGCTTTTTCAAAACTATCATACCAACACATTATCTCTTAATATTTATATGAATACTAATCTATTTCCCTACTTATTGAACTACTT